GGAGGAGCCGGAGATTAAGTCCAAGGCTCAGGTGCTTGTGTACTACGATCTCTGCTTTGCGTCACGTGGAAAGACCAAGAAAGGCTCGTACATCACGACGGCCGAGCTCAATGCCCAAATGGATCTACTCCGATCCACTGATAGCGGGCCGCGGAAGGGATCCACCCCCCAAGATCCAGTTTCACTGCGCGTACGGGGATCACGATTTCTACATCCCCATTGCCACCTTAGCCGAGGAGGCTTCACGGCTCATCCATGACCGCAACAACGCGGTTGGAAGGGAGGCCATGAAACACGACACGTGCATCTTTGCCACTCGTCTACATGACCTCGCCGACTGGGACGACAGGAAGAACTGTCGGTTGTCAAGAGCAATGCCCAGACCCTCATCCATGTCATCCTAGAAAGGCTTGAGCTGGTGAGGAAGGCTGGCTCGAACGTGGTGATCCTCATCTCCGTTGCGTCGTGGCTTCAACCCGAACGTAACCCAAACATGCTTGGTGTGGTGTTATCACGACCTTCATCAGGGCAGCGATGAAAAGGAACCTGATTGTGGTTCCTGCGGACTTCGCCTTCTGGGGCGATCATTGCACCGGCAACAATGGTGCCCCCGCCGTGCTCAACCACATCGCCGCTCAAGAGAAAAAGTTCGAGCCGATCGTGGCCAGCTACGCCAACAAGGCGAGGATTCCGGACCAGGTGAGTAAGGAGCAGGGAGACCAGTCTTGAACGCTGGACGCTGCTATTCCCGGCGAGCGTCACGGGCAACGCGAGATGGCCAAGCGTGCCATGGTCGACTCCGGAATGGCGAGGTCATCCCGATGGATGACATATTCTGGAGGGCCGAGCACATGAACGCCTACGACCTCAGCCCCGTTTGCCTTCCTATCACTTCAAAGATGGTTCCCAAGACCCTTTACAAGGTGGTACCACTTCGGATGTATCGGCTCTACGTAGAACGTGGAGCCATCCAGTTGGACGGGCTATGATTGAGCTCCTCCCATCCAGGCCGGATGAGTATCAGCCCATTCACGACCACGGTGAGTGCCCTGCCGACACAGTCGACCGCTTCACCGACCGCAACGTGACCGAGCTGCACACCTCGGGTCGACGCCAGAGAATCGATCCCCGATATGCGGTCATCGCAATCGATGCACGTTTCTTCGCCATGGAGAACGGGGGCGTGCACATCACTCGTCAAGGTACCTTTGCATCGCGCGAGAATATCGCGATCGGGTACTGGCGATGCGTCTACTTCAAAGAAGACGCCGATCGTCTCAGTCTCTACGTCGGTCGCGGTGGCGATCGCGACGGTCTTCAGCGGGGCCATCGCGTCCGCGGCGCTCATCTCGCCCTGAACCACGCCTCTCGGACGGTTCGTCATGGCGTGGAAGAGGTCGGCGATCATGGCGCCGGCCTCCGCGGGCATCTCTGGCACGCTCATCCCTTTGTCGGGGCGGGCCAGGATCCTCACGCCCACCCTTGCCAGGTCGGTGCTTTCCTTGACCCTTGCCCTCTCCTCGAGGGCCACGTCGGTCGTCACGTGCACCAAGCGCGGTTCTTGACCGATCGTCAGCCCGGCGGGGCCGTGATTCATCAGCTGCGCAAGTGGTCCGAGGCACGCTCCCACTCCCCATCATCATCATCATCATCACCATCACGCGGGTCGTAGTTGCTTGGGCCGCTGAGATGATGCAGGAGTCCCGGGACCAGACCGAAGACGCACTCTAGGAACCGCCTCCGCGCCCGTGAAGGGGTCCGTCTGGCAGAACCCTTTTGTTCTACCCCTCCTGTCTCCCTCTTCCGCACCGCTTCTTGCGGGGACCGGGGACGGGCGAGCAGGCTGAGCCATGCTCTTAAGAGCTTGGTGCAGGGGACTCGACCACGGGACGTCCTCCCAGCCTTGGGTTGATCGGGATCAGCCTCCAGCTCAGACTCAGCATCAGGGACACGAGTGTTGACCGCCACGTCTTCCTCCTCAAATTGGTCTAGCCGTTGTGACATCGGCCGCAATTGGAACGGGAGGAGGAGGAGGAACAGGCGCAGCTCCGCCAGGACGATGTCCTTGTGGAACACCACGGGACAGGCGGCGCGGGAGGAGCCGGAGGCGGTGGCGGAGGAGGAGGGATATCCTCGTCGTCATGTCATGTGACGAGCCGTCCGACCCCGGCTCATCCTCTCCGGATCCAGCAAAGTCGGGCTCTTCTTCGTCCTTCACGCCGGGGCCTGGTGTAAGGCGCATTCCGGGTCGTTGGCGATCGCGGGGGCGGAATCGATACTTCCTAGGTGTCGGATCAGCCAGCTCCTGCTTGACGTCATCCTGCATTTGCGGACGGTCAGCCAAGCACGTGTCGTAGGCGACGGTGGATGTTCGGTAGATCAACTCATCCATACTGCTGAGGTCGTTGAGCGTGTACACATAGCCCTTCGCAACGCCTGCTTGCACCGCATCCATGGCCCGTTTGAGGCGTGCGGCAGGGTCAAAGCCAGCCTTTCTCCGCATGGCTTGCAGCACCCCGCAGTGTTGAACTCATCCCCCGTCACGTTGTTCGGGAGTGTCGGAGAAAGGTGCCCGGACCTCAAACCAATGATGTGGGCTTCGATCATGTAGTATGACGTATAGAAGCCACTGCGATTGGAGTTGAAGTTCGCGGTGGTTAGGCGTCTGCCCCACTCTGCCGCATATCTCGAAGAAGTCGGAAACGGTGCTCCCGTTGAACGCAAGCCCCCTCACCAAGATCGCCTTTGCCACCCACTCCTCCACGTTGTGGTCAACGGTGTCTTGATACCTGTTGTGGACTATTTCGTCCCGGAGTGCGTCATGGAGCTTCTGAAAGATGCTGTCGACGTCCTCTTTGTCGAGGAACTTCGGAGGTCTCATTCCAGACAGCAGCAACGACCGAGCATCGACTGCAGGGCTCTGCGAGTAGAGGGCCATCCGGCATTGGCGTCCGCGTTGTTCCACAGGGCGGGGCTGACGTTCCTGTAACGTTTCAACCATGAGGGGATCACCCCATCAGTGCACGCAATCGTGCGAGCGCCGCCGTCCGTGTCTCCGGTAGGCAGGACTCTCTCGTAGAAGATGGGGAGATAACAGGCAGTGCACAGGTGAGCTCCGATCGGATGCGCCGTCACGCACCTATGGCATGGGATGGACAGCGCCTCCCGGACATGTTCCACCTTCGTGGTCTGGGAATTCTTCTCCATCTCGTTCCAACACCTTCTCGGGTCGTCAGCGACGGAGTTGAGAAAGTCAGGTGGATAGCACCATGGCCTCAGTCCGGCTGGCGACCGCAGCAGGGATGATGAAGGGGATCGCCGTCGGGATGGAGGAGGCGACCGAGGTGACCGCGGCGGGCGTCAGAGAGATGACGCGCCCAGAGACCGGGAAGAACCCGGGTCCGGGTGGTAGGCGGGTGTCGCAATCATCATCCGCCTTAGAAGGGCAAGAATGATGAACACGTCGCCGAAAGAGGCGGCTGCGCCGGCCCTCTACTCGCTCATGCGACGCTACTGTGGGTGATGATCTCCATTGCCCTGTACCGCTGATCCGGCGTTCATGTTCCTCCCGCACAGCTGCCGTGCGCGCTTTCCTTTGGTGATCCTGTGTGAGGCTGTGACCGCACTAAAAGTGCTGGGCCGGCCGTAGCTGGATAATTTCTCACCAATCCTTCGGAATTTCTTTTTCAATTTCTCTCTCAACTCGATACCATCTTCAACCACGTTGTGGCATGCTGTGAGGCGCGGTGATCCAGACAGGACCCCCCTCCGTGTGTCACTGTCCCAACACAATACATGAACGGCGCAAGAGGAATCTTCGTCTGGCTCCTCCAATATGTCCTTGTTCACTCCCGCTAATTCGGGGTGGTGGGATTTTAACTGGGGCCCAGGTGATGCCGTTTGGCTCACCTCTGAGTTGACACTGGCATTTTTGGTTGGTTCCTTTCGTCGTGAACTCAACTGTCTTGCATCCTTTCTCTCGTCCAGATATCGGATGAGGGGGTGTGTTTTGTTCACGTGTTGTTTCTACAAAACCATGCGTGCCGAATGGCCGCTTGGCTCAAGATTTGGCTCCCCCGTCGGGATTTTCATTTGCGTGCGTTCGCCATGGTGCGGCGATTGGCTGCGCTATCGCGGAAAAGGTCCGTGGTGTTCCTGCTGATCGGCACTAGGAGGTGGGCGGCAGGTCGCCGAGGTGCCCTTGTCTCTACCTTCTTCAACCCATTTCCTAACCTCCCCAAACTTGATCTTCATTAACTGCCACTCCCACAATCTGGTCACCAGCGCCTTCTACATTGTGCTTTGGGACTGGGTTCTTTTGTTGTTCGCCCAAAACCGCACAAGATAAAGGTTGGTTGCATGTTCGCGCGTTGCCGCATGGTTTGAAGGGCTAAAGAACGAGGGGGCCAAGCGAGGCAGCTGGAGCATGGTTTTGGGTGGGGGGGCAGGGGGCTGAGGCCAAGCCTGTCATTTTGGCAGGTCTCACCCCAGCTACATTCAAGCTGTCGCAAGTGATTGAACACAATAAGTTTGCAGATTTCGAAGCCTACAAACGAAAGGTTTTTCTCGGTCAGAACCAATCAGGACACCACTTACAGCCAAACCCAGGCAGGATTCTGTCACAGCCAACGCCCAAGCTTATTCCTGCTAATATGTGAATCCCATACTGGGGAAAAGGTGGCCAAGGATATACTCGAAAGTATGCAGCAGAGGCTGACACTTTTGGCATGTTTAATGCCCTAACAAACAGAAGCGAATGATACGAGCAAACATTGTAGGTCGTTTGGAAGGTTTGCTAACGTTTCGAGGAGCCACTGGGTCAGCCAATTTGTGTTTGTTCTTGTGTTGGCCGTTGTTGCTGCGAAGAAGTTCATGTATGATCCAGTTCCAGGCCGTTCGATTCAAGGCTCTGCACGCACCCAGACGAAAGCGTATTCCGCCATGTGGCAAACCAGTCTGATTTGTGTACGTGCAAGTGTGTGTTGCGTGCTTTCGCGCAGGAAGGCGGCGGCTCGGAGGTGGTGGACACCAGCGAGGAGGAGCAGAACAAGTGGTCGGCCTCGGATGAGGAGGTCAAGGCCTTGGCCGAAATGGCCGTGAAGATCGAGAAGCACTATGGCCGGCCCATGGACATCGAGTGGGCCAGGGATGGGGACGACGGCAAGCTGTACATCGTGCAGGCCCGGCCAGAGACGGTGGCCTCCCAGAAGAAGGTCGGCGTCATCGAGGAGTACAAGATGCTCGAGAAAGGCCACTTGGCTCCAAAAAGAAACCCCGCACCTTGTGTAGAAACGGCCCGTCCCTCAAATATCTTTGCAGGCCCGGAACACGCTAAACCGATGCTGGAACAACCGATGCCCACAGAAGTTATGAAAACACGTCAGGGTAGCGTTGTCGTGTCAAACCAAGGGCCCGAACCCTTACCCAACCCGGTACCCAACCGATAGCCAACTCATTTGCCCTCATGCCGAACCTAACCAGTTGCCCTGGAGCTGCCAAAATGCACTTGTCGTACGACATTTGCACTTCACATACTGTACTTGTCCGGAAAGCTGCGACTCTCGAGCTGCAGCTGCCAAACCACTGCAAACTGACCCAAGGAAAACACTACCGATACCAGGATACAAGCTTACAAGGGTTGTCCAGCGGGTGTTCTCAGTCCACTGTCATTGCAGGTCACGCGGATCTCGTGGATGGCTGGGGCTTGTTTTAAAACTCGCGGCTGGGCTTGGAATCTTGGATGGTCTTAGATGCTTCGTGTTAGGTGGCGAAAAGGTGGCAGAGGGCCGCGCCGTGGGCAAGCGCATTGGCAGCGGCAAGGCGGGCTGGAGCCAATGTAGCTGCAAATGCACAGTGAGATACGGCCTACTTTATTCAAAGTTTGGATGCCAGCGGGTGGTTGCTGTTTAGACCCCAAAGTATCATTTCTCTACGAGGTTTGCCAAACTTGTCACGAAACACAGGTGAACATCCTCACCAGCATTGATCAGATGGCTGAGTTCGAGAAGGGTCAGGTGCTGGTCGCTGACATGACGGACCCCGACTGGGAGCCCATCATGCAGCTCGGCCGCAGGCACGGCTCACCGCAGAGCCCTATGCCACTTCAAATTGCATGGAGTAGCATGGAGTGCCAACGCCTGGTGTAGAGTAGCGTAGTGTCATGTACGTTACTCTCGTCAAGTGATCCGATGACTGATGATCGACGAAGTGAGCCCAAGCATCATGATAAGATAGGTAGCCAAATCAAGTACGTAACGGCTGATCAGCTAAGTAGCAGGGTCAAGTGCTCCACGGCCGACCTGGGTATCCTAATCACGACATTTTCGCGGATCAATTAAGTACCAACCTGGTGAAGATGGGGTTCTGCCTTACTGCCCAGTGAAAATTGATGCTGGAGCCAAATGAGCGACGTCCAGAACCTCCGTGTACATCTTTAGTAAAAGTCATGTCACATCGACCTGTGCGCAAGCAAAAGATTCCACGCGCGTAAGGAGGCGTAAGCTACTGGCGCAACCAAAATGATACGACATAGCAAATTATGACACGCTTAGGACGTGGCTCAAATGGATGCGAAACGCTTGGGCCGGAGGATGGTTGTAGACCTTCTTTACGGTCAGTGTCCGAGCAATTCCATGCCGTGGGCATCCTGCCACTCCATCCCACTTCACAGCGAAGTCTTCTTTGTGCAGCGGACCCTAGTCACCAAGGAAGAAGGCTGGCGCCATCATTACCAACCGCGGCGGCCGCACCTGCCACGCGGCCATCATCGCCCGCGAGCTGGGCATCCCGGCCATCGTCGGCTGCGGGGACGCCACGGACAAGGTCAAGAAAGGCGCGCAGACCGTGTTGGATCGCGGGCCGGGCACAGGGCCTGTCTTTGCGGGAAGGATTTGCTCAAGCAACACTGACGACTTGCGAGCCAGGCATGAAGTCTTGTCATGCTTTCCCAGTAGGGCTCCGGCACATGCAAGGAAAATCAGCAACAACAGAAAGAGCGTCCAGCATCCTACGTCAAGGAAACCCTCAGCTCCTGTTTGCCACTTTTCCCATGTGCGTTTGGTGCTGTTGCAACAATGCTGCATTTGACATCCCTTGACCTGTTCTGTTTCTCCGATGTTGCACGTGAGCGGCCCTGAACGGCAGGTGACGCGGTGACCGTCTCCTGTGCGGAGGGCGACACTGGCTACATCTACAAGGGCGAGCTGAAGTTCGAGCCGCGTGGATTGAAAGCCGATAGCCGGCGGAGAGAGGATCACTCTGCAATGCACCAAGATGAGCTCAAGCTGAATCCAAGGAAAAATGTGCAGGATTTGGGCGATCTGCCAGAAATTGGACTCAAGAATCTGGGACAGCATGATGCGGCATGATGAATGCGTCAAGACGTTTGAGTGTGGCCGGTACTGAGTAGCACGCCAGATGTGATTAGCCTTTCGCTTCACAGTGAACGTCTTCAGGATCATGATGAACGTGGGCAATCCTGAGACTGCCTTCTCCTTCGGACAGCTTCCCAACGAGGGCATTGGCCTGGCGCGCCTGGAGTTTGCCGCACGGCTCAATAAAATGCAAGCCAGGCTTCAGGCACAAAGACCAACGGCACGCATGACTTGCTGAGGCTTTCTATGTCAGCGTCAGTGTGCGAGGGTGTGTGCGGGTCATGGTTCGTGTGTGTGTGTGTGTGTGTGGTGTTGGTGTCAGTATTAGTGTTAGTATCAGTATTAGTGTTGGTATTGCTACTAGTGCTTGGGTTAAGTATCAGCCCCATCCCCTAGACAAGCGTGGCATAATGAATGTATTTATGTGCATTTCGAGTGCCTGTGTGTGTCCGTGTGTTTGTTGTGCCTGCGCGTGTTTTCCAGGTCATCAACAATGCCATCGGTGTGCACCCGAAGGCCGGAAATCGCGTGTCCTAGCCTCATAACCCAATCTGGTCCATTGTCCGTCTCTCACTCGCTTCCAAGCCGGGGCTGATGTTTTTGCTGCGTCGTATTGTCGCTGGCAGCGTGCCAGTTGGCTGTTGCACGAGGCGCTCTTGAACTACGACACCTTGGATGCTGAGACCAAGGGTTTGATCGACGAGCGCATGCGTGGCTATGATGGACCCAAGGTCCCCTGGCTGATGTTACAGAAAAAGACTTGAAGGAGTGGTCAATGGGAGTTGCTCCTGGTTGTGTGATTGCCGCGATGCAAGTCGCCAGGACTTCTACATCAAGAAAATCGCGGAAGGCATTGCCACCTTGGCCGCATCGGTGTATCCGAAGCGCATCATCGTCCGGCTGTCCGACTTCAAGTCCAACGAGCCGCTTGTCTCCATGTGGAAGCCTTCTGCCGGACTGCTCGGACTCTCCGACTCTTCGACTCTTCCGTCCGAAGCCTCACCTGAGGTACAAGAGCCTGATCGGTGGCGAGCAGTACGAGCCCGACGAGGAGAACCCCATGATCGGCTTCCGCGGCTGCGGGCGCTACACGGACCCCTTCTTTGAGGAGTGCTTCGCCATGGAGTTGGAGGCTAGGGTTATGAGGGTTCTGTGCCGCCTGGGCCGCTTGTTGTGAAGTGATGTCCGAACCATACATGGGTGCAGCCGACCTTTTCTTTCTTCATATTAAGTCAGGTAGACCTTTACCCGCATCGCTGCAACTTTTACTGCGTCGTTCACGCCGCCTTCTCGCTACGTCGTGTTTCCTCCTGTCCATTCCCCATTCATTCACCTGACCACCCAACAACCCACCCACTCACTTCCCAGCTGGCTCGCTCACTCACAAGAGGTACGCATGTGGCGTCATCCGGGCCTTTGATTAGTACCAGGTTTTGAGTCTGACTCACGCGGCCTCAACGTGCCAAACTCTTAATCGGCCCTAATTCCAACAGTTCCGGAGTCCAGAGTCATGCCTGCGTGTTGCCAGGCCGTGAAGATTGCCCGAGGAGAGATGGGACTGAAGAATGTGGAGATCATGATCCCATTCGTCCGCACCCTGGACATGGCTAAGGACGTCAACGAAGTGCTGGTGCCCTGGCTCGCGCGGTTGGGGCACGGTTGGGGAAATGGGCTCTCATGAACAATGGACCGCGAATTTGCAATTGGTTTGATCTGTTGCAGAAGACGTTGGTATGCACGTGCTCGGAACGGTTCCGGCTTCAAAGCCATCTGAGGAGAAAAACGGCCTCAAGAGGGGCGAGGATGGCCTGAAGGCGGGCCGTTGTGCTGTCAAGCCGTTTGGACCGAAAATCGAGCGCGGCGTGTGAGAAGTTAGATGGGTAGCGCTCTTCGGCACCTCCCGGGATTCACTATGTCGAGCGCCCAACCTATCAACCGTGTCAACTGACGAGGTGCAAATGATGGCAGAGCTGCCAAGCAACGTCTTCTTGGCAGAGGAGTTCTTGGAGTACTTCGAGCTTTGTTCTGCACGAAAAGGTTTCAATGGATATCATGGATCTCGTTGGAACTCGCTTCGTTCATACTGGCTCAGGATGGCTTCTCCATTGGCAGCAACGACCTGACGCAGTTGACTCTCGGCCTGGACCGTGACTCAGGCGCGTTGTGTGCGCCTCTGCGAGCAAACCACGGAAACGCGAGTCCAACATTTGTTGTTGGCCGTTCGCCGTTCCTGTCATTCTGTCCAATCCAAGGCATTGCATGTACAAGTTTCACATCCTCCTTCCGGTACCCAACCCCTGCTTTGTCCGGATGCCGTTTGCGCAGGCTTGGTTGCCCAGTACTTTGACGAGCGCAACCCTGCTGTGATGAAGGGTTTGGAGACCCTCATCAAGGCTGCCAAGGCCAAGGGCAAGCACCAGCCTCAGTTTGCGATGCCTTTGTTTTAGGACACGACTGTAGGAGTTGAATGTGATTCACCGCCAGGTATGTTGGCATTTGTGGTCAGGGCCCTTCTGATCACCCGGATCTCGCCAAGTGGCTCATGGAGCAGGGTATCGACTCTGTGTCCCTCAACCCCGACTCTGCCACTTGGAAGTGGCAGCGAGGGATTGAGCAAAGTCACGGCACCTGAGCCACAATCAAAACCCGGGTAGATGAAGGCCAGTAAGCGACCACAAATAGCTGCGGCCGCCTTCTTAATTCTTTACGCGCAGCCAATTGTCGGGTTTTATCGCTTTTGGAGGGTGCTGCTTTCAGGACAAGGGAGAATGGGGGCTGCTTGCTTGCACCACCCTCAAGACATGGCTATTAAAAAAAAAAAAATGCAAAGCTTGAGTTCAAGCAAATCTGCACACCCTATGTCGCATCAAAGAAGGACAACTGCAGACCAGTCGTATCCATCTCGGTCCATGGAGCCTGCAACCCTCAAGTCCCCCGAAAAGAAAGGAACTGACCCCATGCCCCCTCCGTCCTATCTGGTGGGTTTGTTCGGTTTGGGGCAATTGGAGACAAACCTATTCCATGTCTGGTTAGGCAAGCTTGGCGGAGAACCAATGCACACCTCCCGCCGAGACAAAGTGGAAGATGCCCCTGCCAGCCAAGGTTATCCCAACTTGGCAATTCTTGGGCAAGAAGTGATTTGCCACAGCTCTGTCTTGGTTAATGAATCGATTGCACAGCCCAGATGCTTCATCTATGATTTTGGTGTTTTTTGATGTTTCAGCGTGTTGCATCTGGGCCTTGCGTGGCTCAGCATTTCTCATATTCCTTGGGAAAAACCTTGCCAGCCGCGGGGCTGGTGCCCAAGAGTATCTATTTTCTCGCTGGCTGTCGTCCCGCGCGTATGCGCAGAGACTCACAGCTCGGCATTCCAATTGAGCATTTTGCTACTCTGCGCTCAGTTGAAAATGGTCAACGACAGAGTTTGCATGCCGTGTAAGGCTCATGTGAGCATTAGCGGCAGATTTTTGGGATATCTGAGAGGAGGCATTCAGAGCCAGCCGTGCACCTGCGGCTCGGCGTTTGGGAGCAAAGGTGGTAAGCCAGGTAGTGGACTTGAAGATTCGCGGGTCGAAGCTTGGAAGCACGCTGCGAGCTTGAATACGGCCAAGGACGGACACACAAACAGTTTCCACCCAAGGCCATGCCCGTTCAGTCGAAGATTTGCCGTGGTGCCGCTGTGCTGGGCGCGAGTGCGGTTGGTCTGGGCTTTGTGGTGCCACAGGTGCCGAATGTTTGACTCGTGCGGGCTGCATGTTGCATGGCCAGGCCAGCCCCAGCGCGGCACGGGCCGCGGCGTCCACGGCGTCTGCCTCCCCGGCCTCCCCTGCCTTCAGCCCGAGCACGGGCATCGCGAGCTGCGCAGTGGCCGGGGCCGTGAGCTTCGCCGCAGCCCGCCGCGCCGGCGCCCGCAGCACCCGCGCCCGCAGCAGCGCCAACGCCCGAGCCCAGCGGGTGGCGTTGTTTGCCCGCGGCGGCGAGGAAGACACGCGCGTGTGCATCCCGCTTGAGGACAGTCGGAGGTCCTCGGTCGTAGAGGTTGGGGGTCAGTGCCGAAACTCACCAGGAACTCCGCAACACCGATGTGGACAAAGTGGGCGGCAAGAGCGCCTCCCTGGGCGAGATGATCTCGCAGCTCTCCGACGTGGGTGTGCCGGTGCCAGGCGGGAAGTTGAGCGTGGAGATGCGTGGAGAGTACTGGAGATCGGGGGTTGACAATGTTCAACTCAGATCTTCTTTGCACCCTGCTTCCACACCGATCGCACAGCAGACGGGATAGCATGTTGATTAGTTCAGGAAGGCTGAGTCGAGTCAATTTGGTGGTTCAGGTGGCTTCAGCACCACTGCGTTTGCCTACAAGGAGTTCCTGGACAAAGGCGGGCACCCTTGAGCACTAGTAACCTCCTTGGGGCACAACGCTTTGAGTTGTTTCTCAAGTCACTTTCAGAGTGGGGCGCGAAAATAGCAACATAATGAAGAACAGATCGCGAACTCGGCATGTTTGGATTCCGCAACAACCAAGGTGGCATCAACGACTTCATTAACAATCAGCTCTCGGATGATACCATCTACACAGATGTGAACAAGCTGATGGAGGCCTTGTGAGGAGCCCTCATGCGGCCTTTGTCACTGGTCTGCTGTGTCCATGCTCATGTTGCGGAGTAGGCTGACGCTGGCATTTCTAGCGCTTCAATCAAGATGAAGCGCAGGTGGGCAAAGCAATCCGTGACAAGATCATGGACACCCCGTTCCAGCAGGATTTTGAGGCGGAGCTGAAGGCTGGAATTTCGTAAGTTGGGGACGGGATCTTCTACTCCAACATTTCGTTCAGAGCCATGGGATGGTGGGAGATTATGGCCCGTGCGCAATGCTCCCGTGTGATTTGAATCAGGAATTATTTCTACCAGTTATTGATTATAGAATTCCATGTAAATCTCAGGAGCAAGCAGGCGACCCATAAACATCGACGGTATTCGAGGGACCCCGGCGGAATGCCCGGGTCCCAAAACGGATCCGCGAAGCTTACCGAAGAATAGGCGCCCACAATTCCCTCATGTTAGTTTTGTCATGCCGTTTGCTTCCCCCGACAAAAAATGTTGCATCTAGTTTAACCCGTCCTGATGACACCCCTAAATTCGGGGTGTGCGGGTCCTGCCCAGCCTTAATGCTGTGACGCATCATTTAGAACAGCTCTGAGCTAAGCCTTTGCGACTCTGGAAATTTGCTTGTGCCACGAAAGGATGCACACAGGCCTCTTACAGCGTCTTCGGAAATCCATCATTGCAGTAATGCCAGTTCACCACGATTCCCCCAGATTGAATTCAGCTGTATTGCAAGAATCAGCCGCGTTGAGTATGAATACCGAAACGCATCGGCTGAGGATAGCATCTCACCACCAATAAATGAAAGGCAACGCAGCGTCGCACGTCAGTATTGCACGCAAGAGTCCATGAAATGTACGGCATCAGCGAAACACAGACCAAATGTTGCGAGGAATTGACCCCAAAGCGGCCTTGGACTGGACCTGGCGGGATGCCCTTCGGGGTTTGGAGCGTTGTCATTGGGAACCCGGTGCATTGCATGGATACTCTACGCAGACAGGTGGATGAAGCGTGCCTTTTTGAAGTGCCGGAGAGAGGCCAAGCACCTCACCATTCTGCCGACCCGTCGTTTTTCTTTCATTTTCTTTCTGGCTTTCCAGCCTTGTGATAACCATCCAGCTGGAAAGCCTGAGGCTTGCTGACCGTCGGTGTCGTTTGGGAGGGGCTGATTTTCAAGCGCTACTCTCACGTTCGTGCCTTGACTGAGCGCCTGGTTTTCAACAAAACTCCAGCCGTCACAACCTTCACTGATGCCTTGATCTGCAGGGTGCACTGCCTCCAGCGAGGCTTCGCTTCCTTTGCCGCCTCGCGACGATTTTTGTGAACACAATCAGTCATGTGTAGTCTCTTAGGCCTGTTGCCGCGCACTGTTTTTCACTGCCTTCGTGATTGTAGCGATCGCCGCATGGCGACTCCGCAGCTAGATATAGAATAATATGAACTATTGACGTGTCATGGCGCTTCAAGGTTAAGGGATGGGCTCCGTATGGCTCCGTTGTCAAACTGCATTCCATGAACGTGTGTTTTTACAGGGTAAACATTGTTGACGCCTCCATATCTGACGCCACCTCTTTTAAGATATCCCATCCCTTTAAAAGAAATTGGGCCAGGACCCGGTTTCAACAATCTCTGGCTCAACCCTAGAGCTGGTCTGCGCGGGGGGGGGCTTTTTGCGCATGGTTACGTAGGCGCCTCTAAGCCACAGACATGTTGGAAAGGGATGCACTTGCCATGCTTCGATCGCATGTGAGAATCTGTGCTTTTTGGGTTCATCATTTTTTACAGGGATACCGGAGCACTAGCTACATGTGGCTACCATATCACTTCGTGATGATGTCAGATGCCTGCGGCGGCAGCTGGCAGGGCCAGCATGGGGAATCAGCCTTTTGCGAGCAATCCAGGAACTGTCCCGAGGATCTTCATAGGTCCGCAGCAGCTCAGGCTCCTTTAGATCCATTGCAGCACAGACAGCAACATGGTTTTCTCAGTTGCGCGGGAATGCCTTCAGTCGGGCTCCTACCTGAGATGGCAACTGCGACAGGCGCCTCCATTTTGGTTGGCCAGCCCTTTGCCTCTGCTGAAGGCCGCCCAGATCAGCGAGCGTTGTCAGCTGCACTGGCGGGCGAGCGGAAATCCGCTCCAACCTGGAGTGCTTGGAGGGCTCATCGCAGGCATCATTTGGGAAGTCAGCGAACCTCGCTAAGAACAAAGAAGTGCAAGGAAGAGTCTTACACAGCTGCCAGGCGGCGGATTTGGCATTCAGAGACTTGTCTGCGGCGAAGACCCAGCGGAAGGTCACGCCGAGTTGGTCGATGAGGAGTTTGGTTGAGCCGCCCGGGCGGAGCGCCTGCGGAAGGCGATGCGGCAGACCTCAAGATCCGGCCGTCCTGCTCTCAGACGCAGCGTTCGACACCAGCATGTCACAGCATGGTCGGATAGTCGGGGCGTGAGACGGTGAGAAGGCCTCGTCAAGCACGTCGCGTGAGACCTTGAGCATGTAGGGGCGACTTGGAGGACGGATCTGCGAGGGCAATCCACAGTCATTGCGAATGACAGCTGCAAGCACGCTGACGGTCATGGGGCTCAAACTAAAATGTTCAACGCTTCCGGCCGTGAGACAACCTGTTGAAGAGTAAAGAGACAGAGATGTCTCTTGAGAAGCTAGGCCTAAATTGTGAGAGACAAGAATGTCAAAGGCGCGTTGATTTCTCTGGGTTGTGGAAGCCATCTTGAGATGCCGCTTGTGAAGACATCGCGCATGGATGCGAACATACCGCAGGGCACCTCTGAGCCTCAGACACGCTGGCTCATCGTACGTTTGCTGGATGGTGCGAGACAAACTGTTTTGTACGTGTTCATTGTTCATCCACGCGTCTTGTATGTAATGCGCGCGCGGAAGCTGCAGTTGTACTGCTCTCCTGGTGCAAGAGCCTGCCCTGTTGCATCGGACCAACTGTACGTCACAGGCAAGTTAGCTGGCCCGGAGCCAACTTATTGGAATCTCTGGGCTGCAGAGCGTGTTGTATGATGTCTTGGGACACGTGGAAAATCATGCATGGGCCCACTGCAGCGGATATGTCGCCACACCATGTAGGCGCTTGCCAAGTTGCAGATGTTGCACAAATTGGAAACGTGTCCAATGATCACTGTAGTCTAGTGCTAGGTGGCACTGTGATGCAGCTGTAGGACTTGACTGAAGAAATGTGGACACGCTTGCTCCAAACGGCCATTTCAACCACGTCAAATGTAGGGACCAGAGCTTGCCGGAATCTTTCAAGTACACCTGCCGTGCCTGCAGCAATTGTAAGGAACGGTCCTCTTTCGCTGTAACGTCTTCCGGGCTGTCCGGTTGTCCCGGATTGCACCCTGGCATCATCTCCACAGTGTAGCGTTCGGGACTGGCATCGGCTCATGTGTCTTGTTGTCGCGGTATTAGCGCAACGCAAGCACAAGCTGCAAGACCAGAAAAGGGAATGTCAAAATTGGCTGCGGACTGTGCCAAGTCGGCAAACCATCGCCCTGCTTTTGGGCCACCGTCGTGGCTGGCCATGTAGCAGGTGGTGTGTGTTCAGTGGTTCAGTTGTGGGTTGTCTTTGATCGTTTCTTGCGCATTGTGATGTTTTGTTTTTTGACGGGTTGTTGCGTGAAAAGGTGCCTCGGCTCAACACGCTTGGTATTGACTTGCGATTGCTTGCGTTCTTCTGCCATAGCTCTCAGGAAGAATATCACGAATCCTGTGGTCCAGTTGACATTTGCGTAGTTGTCAATGTTGAGTGGAAATAAATTGTTCTGGATTTGCACCACTGGTTTGATGCTGCGCTGCACGTCTCTTCAGATCTCTGATAGTGTCAGGCTCTTGTTGTCAAACTGCGCTGGTGATTGTAATGCGTGCAAGCTCCTTGCCTCCATAGCTGATGTACCTTTTTTTTGCGCATGCGAGCCATTGGATCTTGCCCACAAGTCATCTGTAGACGAAGCACACGTGTGCTGTTCTTGATCCAGGTGTGCTTCGTCTTGTGCGCCTTTGAAGTGCGCCACTTGTGCAGGTGCTGGGTCATGTGGTGCCTGATTCCTGAAGGATGATGTCAATGTAGTTGTCTTCTAAATCAATGTCAATGTGGTCGCCTCTGCGTGTCGTGTTTCTGCCGGGGACGCGTATGGTTGTGCCGACGTTGAGGTTGCCAGTGTGTTTGAGCGCGGCTTCCTTTTGTATCTTACCGTACTCCTACCAGTAGGAGGTCGGCTAGACGATTCACAATGCACATGAAGTGGCCCGGTTGCTCTGAGCACGTTGCTTTTGGTTGTACAACGCCTGACGCTGTGTTGGCGATGACCTTAGGACGCAAATTGCTTTGTTCAGTCATGTCTATTTTGTTCGCTGTGGTACTTTGCTGGGTGACACACGATCATGTTGCATGGAACTGCCACTGCATGTAGGAATGCAAAGGCTGGCATCACCTGTGCAAACTGACCAATTGTGAACGAGTCCCATTCTAATGAGAATCCTCCGGATGCAACACAGTGGTGCACTTACAAACATTGTGAGGGGCGTGTTATGTGTCCGTTGGCTACTGTTCGTGCACGCTTGCCGTTTCGCTTTGAGTGCCCATTTGGACTCAATGATATTTTTTCTCATTGTCCGCCGTCACGGTGTTTGCATCTATCTCGGTGTAACCTCTTTGCTGCTTCAATTTGCCTGTTGCGGATCCTCGCGTTTTCATCTCTTGTGGGTCTTCGTTGGACGCTGTCTTATGTTTGCCATCCCTCGCTGTAAATGTGATTGTGTTGATCCGCATCTTGCCTTTGGGTTGTTGCCCAGTTGTATGTCTCTCCAAGGCCTGTTTTTCTGTGGTGGTCCGCTGCTGTTTGCCGCTGCTTCCTACTGCAAGGTCGGGATTTGTTCTTGATGCTGCGTCTGGTGGAGCCGGTAGTGATTGTCTCATGTTGTGGTGGTGGTGATGTTTGGGTTGGCTCTGGCTGTTGTTTGCTGATTTGTTTGCTGTTCGTCTCGCTGCTTGCTGCATAGAGGTACCCGTTTTAGAGTTGCACTCGTCTGTGTAGGCAAAGCCGAAGCTGGTGTCTTTTGCGGCATTGGTTATGCTGTCTTTTGCCATGTGCTTTGTCTACGTCGCATAAGTCGCATAAATACGGGTCACATTGCTGCGCGCCAAGGATTCAATCCAGGCAGTTGCATTAATGCAGTTGCAAGGCAGTTTCAAGGGACGTTGGGAAATCGCCAGGAACAGTGGAGCCGCGTCTCCGGCGGCGACGACAAGTTCACGTTCGCAGTGCGGTCTTCTGCGACGGCCGAGGATCTGCCAGACGCTTCCTTCGCTGGGCAGCAGGAGACCTTCCTCAACGTCATGGGCTATGAGGAGCACAAAGACTGACAGCCTGAGGCGAACGCAAGCGGACGGGAGGGGCATTAATTCCGTTTCGTACAGGACCTGAAGCAGAAGGTGCACTTGGTCTTCGCATCGCTCTTCACAGACCGAGCCATCTCCTACCGCCATGACCGAGGCCGGAGCAGCTTGCGTGCGGGCCGGGCATGAAACGGCACTCAGCGCAGAAGATCAGAAGAAAACGGTTTGAGCTTGTCGCGTTCCAGTCAGTCCCAGTCTAGGCACGGCGATGCCAGTACCCTGGTGAGGCTTTGAGCACGAGAAGGTCCAGCTCTGCGCAACCTGCCAAAAGATGGTGCGCAGCGAGACCGGCTCCGCAGGCGTCATGCCGCCTGGCTGGCGTTGGCACAGCCTCAAGGCAAGTGCAGAAGTAGTCACGCAAGCGGGCGCCATGTTCTTTGATGGCAAAATGTCCCGAAACAAAGGGAACGCCTGGGTTGATGAGTCTGTGCTGCCAAGAGATGTTTGTGTGTGTGTGTGGTGTCACCTGTGCTCAATCTGATTGGTCAACATGGCCCAAGGTTCTCCCTTGACACCGAGAGCGGCTTCAAAGATGTGGTCTTTGTGACCGCTGCATGGGGCCTGGGCGAGACGGTGGTGGGTGGCACCGTGAACCCGGACGAGTGGCGCCCAGACTCCTCTTTGGGTGTTTCCAGTCCTCACTTGAGCGACGATCAAAAAACGTATGAATAAACTTAGTCTTGGGGTGCCAAACTGGGATTCCGCGGAAACAAATGCTCGTACCACTTGCGATGCAGCTGTGGCCATGTCCGTGACAAGCGTTGCCCGTGCTGTCCGGCTGGCTGCGAGGTATGTCTTCAAGCCCACGCTGGCGGAGGGCAAGAACTCCGTGGTCTCGCGCACCATGGGCTCCAAGCTGGTGAAGATGATCTACAAGGCTGGGCCGTGGGGCGGGAGCGCCGTGCTGCGAAGAAGTTCATGTATGATCCAGTTCCAGGCCGTTCGATTCATGGCTCTGCACGCACCCAGACGAAAGCGTATTCCGCCATGTGGCAAACCAGTCTGATTTGTGTACGTGCAAGTGCGTGTTGCGTGCTTTCGCGCAGGAAGGCGGCGGCTCGGAGGTGGTGGACACCAGCGAGGAGGAGCAGAACAAGTGGTCGGCCTCGGATGAGGAGGTCAAGGCCTTGGCCGAAATGGCCGTGAAGATCGAGAAGCACTATGGCCGGCCCATGGACATCGAGTGGGCCAGGGATGGGGACGACGGCAAGCTGTACATCGTGCAGGCCCGGCCAGAGACGGTGGCCTCCCAGAAGAAGGTCGGCGTCATCGAGGAGTACAAGATGCTCGAGAAAGGCCACTTGGCTCCAAAAAGAAACCCCGCACCTTGTAGAAACGGCCCGTCCCTCAAATATCTTTGCAGGCCCGGAACACGCTAAACCGATGCTGGAACAACCGATGCCCACAGAAGTTATGAAAACACGTCAGGGTAACGTTGTCGTGTCAAACCAAGGGCCCGAAGCCTTACCCAAACCGGTACCCAACCGATAGCCAACTCATTTGCCCTCATGCCGAACCTAACCAGTTGCCCTGGAGCTGCCAAAATGCACTTGTCGTACGACATTTGCACTTCACATACTGTACTTGTCCGGAAAGCTGCGACTCTCGAGCTGCAGCTGCCAAACCACTGCAAACTGACCCAAGGAAAACACTACCGATACCAGGATACAAGCTTACAAGGGTTGTCCAGCGGGTGTTCTCAGTCCACTGTCATTGCAGGTCAGGCGGATCTCGTGGATGGCTGGGGCTTGTTTTAAAACGCGCGGCTGGGCTTGGAATCTTGGATGGTCTTAGATGCTTCGTGTTAGGTGGCGAAAAGGTGGCAGAGGGCCGCGCCGTGGGCAAGCGCATTGGCAGCGGCAAGGCGGGCTGGAGCCAATGTAGCTGCAAATGCACAGTGAGATACGGCCTACTTTATTCAAAGTTCGGATGCCAGCGGGTGGTTGCTGTTTAGACCCCAAAGTATGATTTCTCTACGAGGTTTGCCAAACTTGTCACGAAACACAGGTGAACATCCTCACCAGCATTGATCAGATGGCTGAGTTCGAGAAGGGTCAGGTGCTGGTCGCTGACATGACGGACCCCGACTGGGAGCCCATCATGCAGCTCGGCCGCAGACACGGCTCACCGCAGAGCCCTATGCCACTTCAAATTGCATGGAGTAGCATGGACTGCCAACGCCTGGTGTAGAGTAGCGTAGTGTCATGTACGTTACTCTCGTCAAGTGATGCGATGACTGATGATCGACGAAGTGAGCTGTGCACCCAAAACAAGAAATAACTCCACGTCCAATAATTTTCTGAGCGTCCTGGCCACAAAGTTAGCCTATGGCTGATGAATTAAGTACCTTTGCTCTTTGTTTACCTGGTGACCAGGTAGCCCAATGATTGATCAGATAGGTAGCCAAATCAAGTACGTAACGGCTGATCAGCTACGTAGCAGGGCCAAGTGATCAGGTACGACAATTTCGCGGATCAATTAAGTACGTCGGAACGCTTTGGCTCAAATGGATGCGAAACGCTTGGGCCGGAGGATGGTTGTAGACCTTCTTTACGGTCAGTGTCCGAGCAATTCCATGCCGTGGGCATCCTGCCACTCCATCCCACTTCACGCAGCGAAGTCTTCTTTGTGCAGCGGACCCTAGTCACCAAGGAAGAAGGCTGGCGCCATCATTACCAACCGCGGCGGCCGCACCTGCCACGCGGCCATCATCGCCCGCGAGCTGGGCATCCCGGCCATCGTCGGCTGCGGGGACGCCACGGACAAGGTCAAGAAAGGCGCGCAGACCGTGTTGGATCGCGGGCCGGGCACAGGGCCTGTCTTTGCGGGAAGGCTTTGCTCAAGCAACACTGACGACTTGCGAGCCAGGCATGAAGTCTTGTCATGCTTTCCCAGTAGGGCTCCGGCACATGCAAGGAAAATCAGCAACAACAGAAAGAGCGTCCAGCATCCTACGTCAAGGAAACCCTCAGCTCCTGTTTGCCACTTTTCCCATGTGCGTTTGGTGCTGTTGCAACAATGCTGCATTTGACATCCCTTGACCTGTTCTGTTTCTCCGATGTTGCACGTGAGCGGCCCTGAACGGCAGGTGACGCGGTGACCGTCTCCTGTGCGGAGGGCGACACTGGCTACATCTACAAGGGCGAGCTGAAGTTCGAGCCGCGTGGATTGAAAGCCGATAGCCGGCGGAGAGAGGATCACTCTGCAATGCACCAAGATGAGCTCAAGCTGAATCCAAGGAAAAATGTGCAGGATTTGGGCGATCTGCCAGAAATTGGACTCAAGAATCTGGGACAGCATGATGCGGCATGATGAATGCGTCAAGACGTTTGAGTGTGGCCGGTACTGAGTAGCACGCCAGATGTGATTAGCCTTTCGCTTCACAGTGAACGTCTTCAGGATCATGATGAACGTGGGCAATCCTGAGACTGCCTTCTCCTTCGGCCAGCTTCCCAACGAGGGCATTGGCCTGGCGCGCCTGGAGTTTGCCGCACAGCTCAATAAAATGCAAGCCAGGCTTCAGGCACAAAGACCAACGGCACGCATGACTTGCTGA